CACTTACAGCTTCAGAAACTTAGTGGAGCGTCTCTGTGAGCTGGGATCAGCTTGCAGTGGGTTTGCCATTTTGGCTTTAAAGGTTGCTTGGTGTTCCTAACAGTTTGTACTCTGGTGGCCTCGTGGGTAAGGAGTTGGGCTGCCAACCTGAAGGCACACGGTTTGAATCCACTAGTTGCTCTGCAGGTAAAAGATGGACAGTCTCCTCCTGTGCAATTTACAGCCTCTGAAAACCCACTGGAGGATCAGCTGTGAGTTAATCTGACTCACATAACCACAATCTAACCTAAAGGTTAATGGAGGGTTTTTTAGGACTTTCTAAAATTGTGTGTGTACCATCGAATCAGATCGGACTGGTACAGGAGGAGGTGAGTATCTCTCCTCCAGCAGAGCATCTGGTGGATTTGAACTGCAAACCTCTGGGATTGCAGTGCAGCTTCCTGCCACTAGGCCACTAGAGCTCACCAGTTGATGGTTTTTAATCCAATTTGCAGTACTGCAGAGGAAAGCCCTTGTGATGTGCTTTTATAGAAAATCTTTGTAAGATTACCAAAACCGAAACCCTCCACTGTCAAGTTGATATCAACCCATGGCAACCCTCCGGAGTGGGTATGTGAGGCAGTAAATACCTAGAAAATCCTCGGGAGCTGTTTTCTCTGTCACATAAGAGGTCGGCATGTGATGGAGTTAACTTGTCAGCAACAGGTTTCATGACTCGTGAGGGTGACCATTTTTCACTCGCCACATCTCTCTCACCGCTGTCAAGTCGGAACTGACCCGTAGCTGACCTTCCAGGGGGTTTTCAGCGATTGTAAATCACACAGGAGGAGATGGCCCATCTTTCTGCTGTGGAGTCATTGACGGGTTCAAATAGACTGAGAGGCGCTGCTTTGGGGTGAACAGCCCAGCAGAGTCCCCTCAGGTGCCAGCAGCTCTCGGTATATCTTCATTAGAAACAGTGGCTCACAGCTTTGTTTCTGTCTGATCCTGGGGTCACTGTGCTCCCACAGGGCTCGGACGTGGAGTCCTGAGAGGACGACGTCTCCAGTCTGCCCCCCCCGACTGGATGTCCAGATGCCCCCCTGCCTGACTGATCACCCCACTCCCCTCCTCCGCTGAGGGAACCCTGTGCCCGGCCCCAAGAAGGTTTTCAGTGACATCTGTCGATTGCTGCAGCAGACTGCGTGGAAACCTAGCCATCAGGGTCATCTCCAACTGTGTGGTCAGCAGCACAGAACACAAAATCCACAAGGTACGTGTCCTCCAGGCACCGGGAGTCAGCATCTGGGCATGTGCTTCCAGAAACACTCGGCAGGGAACTGGAGGCCTCGCAGTGGGTGCCTTTGGGCTTCACATGCTGTTGATCTTGTCAAGGGTGAGTGGGAAAGTGAGTATTTATTCATTTAGAAGGACAGGTAAGTGTGCTCCTTATTAACCCTGGGATGCCACAGGCATTTGGGGCACGACTTCGGAGCACTCTGGGACTTTACCCTCCCTGATCCCTAGTCCTAAGGAATCCTGGTGTCATTGTAATGGATCAGGCTGTTAACAGAACAGTCAGCAGTTTGAATCCACCAGCTGCTCTGAGAGAAAGATGAGCAGTGTCCTCCAGTAAACATCAGTGGCCTCAGAGGCCAGCAGAGGATCACCGTGAGTCAGGACTGACTGGGCAGCGGTGGGCTTAAGCCCTGGCCCAGCATCACCCTCCAGACACTGGGATCCCCCCCTAACCTGTGGGGCCTTCACCTGGAGCTCAACGTGCAAGAGGGGTCCGAAAAACTCAGTCATCTAGATAATATTTTTTCATGTAATTATTTTTAAAAATCGGATTAGCAAACCATGACCAGTGCATTTTCACCCATTTTGCAAATAACATTCTATTGAGATTAGGGCTGGGATGAAGCCGGGGGTGGGGCTCTCCTAATAGCCAGTTTGGCAGTTCAAGTTCAGTAGCCACTCTGTGGCTTTGTTCGGGGCCTGACAGGATTCTTAGGTATCAGCAACTATCAATTTAATAGAAGAGTCATTAGAAGAATCATGTGGTTCTCTAAATCATACCATGTTGTAAAACGCATCATTTAGCTGCCTCAGATAAAGGAACTGATTAGGAAAGTATTAAATAATCTGATGAATGCTATAGTTATATGTAAGCTGTTTTCTTATATACAGTTTAATTTAGAAACCAAATTGGAACACATTAAGCCTTTTTATGAACATATTAACGTTTATATTTAGGCTGTTGCATATTTTTAATATTTCTCAATACAGTTACTAAAACTGTAAAAAGAGTGAAATGTGCTCCATTGAATGCCAAAGTAAAAATATAACTGAGGGTGTGAAAAACAATGTATATGAACTCTGTAAGTCTGAGGGGGGAAGACCCGTAGGAAGCCTCAGAACACCACAGAGCAGTTGTGGTCTGTGCTCTCGGGTTGCGTGAGTCAGAACCAACCTCAACCAGGCAGCAAGGCTTGAGGACTAGCTTTAGTGGGAAATAAGTAAAAGTAGGACCGTACAATTGTAAGGTCAAATGTGTCTTTATTTAAAACTCTTGACATTTTATTCTTTAGGAAGTTTTGCATTTCACTTTGGTCTTTAAACATTTTCATTAAAATCCATTATCTTGGCTACTGAGAATTTTTCAGCTCAACTCCCTGCTGTGGAGTTAGAACCAACTTCTAGTTGACCCCCCAGCAAGTTTTCAAAGGCTTTAGTCACGAGGAAGGAGATTGCTCATCTTTCTCCTGGAGAACAGCTGGTGGATTTGAATGATCTGCCATCGGGTTGGCAGTGAAACTCCTTACCCACTAGGCTACCAGATTTTCCTTTACCGTTGTTGGTTGCTGTCAAATCAATCTGAATTTGTAGTGATCTTCCGTACGTAGAACAGAACTGCCCGCAGGGTCTCCCAGAGTGCACAAGATCAGAGGTGTCTTGAGATGAGTTCAAACCTTCTGGCTAGTGGTCAGATGCCTAAATGACCTGAGTGCGCGCCTGTCACACACGACACTGACCAGGACTGTGTGTCAAAGCAACGCAAAATCACCTATGGTTCTTAACCAGAAAATGCAATATATAGTTTCTTTTTTTTTTTTTAATTTTTTGTGTGTGTGTGTGTGTGCGTGCACCGTCAAATCAGATCTGAATCGAATCAGATCGGACTGGTACAGGAGGATATTGCGCCTCCTTCTCCGGCAGAGCGTCTGGTGGATTCGAACCATGTTCCTCTGGGATTGCAGTGCAGCTTCTTGCCACTAGGCCACCAGAGCTCCCTACAATATATAGTTTCTTAAAAAGATTTTTTAAATTGTTCAATTACCTAAGTAATATATGAATACAACTTCTTTTTGGGGGGGCCAAAAATTTGCTAACTCTTAACAGTAGAATAATCCTTGGAGAAGCAGATTAGTTTTCTCCCTGGGTTTGTACCCAGCCTATCAGGCACCAGCAGGGGGGCAGTGTTGGGCTGGTATTTCAAGGAGGGAGAAAAGGTGGAGAGGAGACTTGCTGATGGAAGTTTTCCAAGGACACGGGTTAACCATGCCACCCCCGGAGGCTGTTATTGGCTCTGTGGAAATCCCTGTTATCTCACACAGCTAAGCTGCCCCCTCAGCTATGAGCAAAGGGCCGTGGCTTTTGCGGTTACCACCTATACTCAGTAAGAGGGCGCGTCCACTTTGACCTTCTGATCCGAAGGACCCCAGGTAATCTGTGAATCCTTAGGGACCCAGGAGAGAGTGCTCCCCTGCCCTCCTTGAAGACCTTTTAGTCATCTCCTACCCAGGTCACAGGTGGTCCTGGCTGCCCCTTGCTCAGTCACCACGTTGCAATGAGAAACTACAATCAGTAGATTTTAAGTCAGATCTGATTGGTGGGAATCAACCTATGTGTCAGAGGGGGGCTGTGTGTGTGTGTGTGTGTGTGTGTGTGTGTGTGTGTGTGTGTACTCCTGAGGGGTTTCAATGGCTGAGTTTCACAAACCCATCACATGGCCTTTCCTCTGCTTTGCCTTCGAGTGGATTCAAACTACCAACTATTCGGTTAGCAGCCAAGCACTTAAACAATTGGTCCCACCCAGGAGGACTCAAAGCCAGGATCACTAATTACTCTGGGAAGGGATCAGGGAGGATGCATTTAGGCCACCCCTGGGTGGCACAGTTTGGTCCAGCTCTGAGGCTGCTGCCCTGGGGATTTCCCTCAGGACCATAATATCCTGCGGGCCATCAACCTTGGAGCTGCCTCAGTGGGCTTCACACCCTTGTACAGAACCCTCAGCTCTATCTGAGGGGCTGAGTCGCCACTCGTGACCGTCCAGGGTGCTGGCGTTGTGGCCTGGCTTGAATCCCTGTCACAAGCCAATCTACATGCACTCACTCCTCATCTGGTGGGCGGGTCAGATAATAGAAGATGCCTGTTGACAAAGCCCCTTAAGCCCTCTTGAGGGCAGCCCTGGCTGCTCTTGGAAGCTGAGTGGGTGGGATGCTGGCCTGAGGAGTGGAGTGCCGAAGGTGGAGGGAGGTTTAGGTTCGAGAGCCCTCAATCCGTGACCCCTCTGGGCTCTGAAAGCCTTTTGTGTAAAGAGCTCTGTTCTGCTCAGTCATTTCAGGGTCTGAGCCGGGCCTGTGTTCTTTCAGTTTAACCTCCTCCACTTCCCAATCATCAGGTGCCACTTGGGGAAGGAACCCCAGAGAAGCCACCTGCTCCCAGCCCTACCACTTTGATAGCGCGCGGCCTTTGGATACCTTCAACCTCTGGCACTGGTGTCCAGGAGTGGCCTGGAGAACCAGGGCCAGAGGCCTTTTTGGGGAGGTGGGTGGAGCTGGGGTAGGGCACGGGGCTTACAAAGTTCCCCTAGAATTTCAGGACTGTCCCCTGGTTCCAGAGGCCAACGCCTTCGCCTCTTCCCACCTCTTCGGCTGGGAGGTGGCCTGCAGGTGGCATGGAGGGACAGGGACAGGGACCGCCGCACGTGGAGTCCAGCTTTATTGGGGGCCTCTGCCCTAGGCCTCGGGGAGCTGCCTGAGCGTGACCGAGGCGCCGCTGCCCACCATGACGGCGGGGTAGAGCGGCTCCAGGAAGGTGGCGAGGAAGCGGTAGATGAGGCTGGCGCCGCCGGCCACGCCGTAGAAGGCCAGGTGGCCCGTGGCACAGTTGAGCGCCACGCCGAGCGTGCGCTGGTACGCGCCGGGCAGCACTGTCTGCTGGTTGTCGTGCCACACGGAGAAGCGGAGCGAGTCCCACTCCAGACACCACGAGTCAGGGTTGCGGCCCAGCAGGTAGACCACGCTGCGGCGCGGGCGGCCAGAGGCCGGGGCGCAGCGGCGGTAGGTGACCCCCAGGCACACCCACGAGTCGGACACGTCGGCCTCCCAGTAGTGGCAGCCCTCGGCCAGGCCGCGCGAGCACAGCACCTGCGGCCACTGCGCGAAGCCGGGGCAGGAGGCGGCCGTGGGCTCCAGCAGCACGCCCAGGTTCAGCACCGAGTGCGCCTCCTTGAACAGGAAGAGCTCGGGGCTGGCTGATGCGGGGTCGAAGTGCAGGTTGCAGTAGGCTGGGGGTGGGTGGGGAGGGGAGGCATCAGACCCGGGCCGCCAGGGCGCAAGCAGGGGCACAGTGGAGTGCCATTCGGGTAGAAGACGGGGTCTCCCCACCCTGGGCCCCAAGGAGGGAGCGCTCTGCTGGCCTAGTGGTAAGAAGCTGCTCTGCAATCTCAAAGGCACACGGTTCAAATCCACTAGCTGCTCAAAGGATGGGTCATCTCCTCCCGTGCGATTTACTGCCTCTGATAGCCCGCTGGAGGGACAGCTATGGGGCTGGTTCCTAATCGTTGGCGCACCCACTTTCCCTTCTCCGACTCTGACCCCAGGTACAGGTGACAGTCCCCATGAAAGATGAGCCTTTGGGGTCAGAAGCCCCCTCACTCCAACGAGGCCTTAACTTCCCTTCTCATCTGCCCAGGTGTACATGGAAGAGAAGGGAGAGGCCAGTGTCCCCGCCTAGCCAAAGGACAGCAAAGGGAAGACAACTTTGACCTTCAGCTCTAAGAGAAGTCACCAGGATTTGGCCCCTTGCCCATTTGAGTTGCCCTGGCTCCAGCTAGGCTGGCAGACTCCCACTATGAGCAAAGGTGTGCCTCACCTGGACTGGGGGAGAGGGTGGGGTGGAGGGGAGCAGCAGAGCTCCCTTCCAGGCACTACAGAGCCCTTGCTCTACTCCAGGGTTAGGGTCTTCTCCACTCCCTACCCCAGCCCCGGGGTCTCTGGTCCACTGAAGTTTCTAGAGTCCTTTTGGGGTCCCTGCCCTGAAGCAGGTGAGGATGAGGGAGCTGGCCTCTCGAGAGCCCTGCCTGAATGGAGGTGGGGCTGGGAGGTTGAGGCACCCACAGCCTCTGTAACCTCCTCCTAGCCAGAGCCAGGAGGTGGACTCACACTTGAGGAGTGCTTTCCTGTCCACTGCTGGGGGCAGCACCTCGTAGGAGTTCGTCTTAATTCCTGTGGGAGATGGAGGGGTTTTGCTAAGGACACTCACAGCCTGCATCCACCTGGAGAGAGGCGTGGGCTTCCAGGAGGCTGGACTCTTCTGCGAGGGCCCGGAGCCCTCACTCACTCCTACAGGGTGCTCCCACCCAGCAAAACAGTCTCTGAGGCTACAGGCCGCCCGGAACTCACCCCTCAGAAGCAGCTGGTTGAGGAACGTGAAGCCCACATCTGCCATTTGTGTCTGGAGCTCCACCAGGGTCTCTGGCAGCTGGAGAAAGCTGTCCTCCTCGAAGGTGGTGCCCATCAGTGGTTCCATGTCGGTTGAGAAGTGCTTCAGCCTGGGGATCTCCTGGCATGTGGGGAGGTGGTGGTGGTACCTGTTAGAGGGCCCAGCACATGCCAGGTGCCTCTGCTTATGCCAGGGTCGTGGTGGCCCCAGAGCTACAGGGCAGGTGGAGCAGAAGTCATGGCTTCAAGCCTGCACCCCGCTCTCCCATTCCCATTGTTTGGGCTGCTCAGGGTGGGGTGCTGGAACAGCTGAGTGGCCTAGCGTGCTAGGCTATGTGTAGGGGGGCAGATTTCTCCTGAAGCCCAATTTTTAATGAACCATTACTATTTCCTACTTTCGATCAGTTGATACTGACTCATAATAACCTTCCCTTGGGTTCTTTATTGGGGGAGATTGCCTATTCTTGGGCAATCTGGTGGATTTGAACCGATTACTTTATATTACATACTATATCACTTGCTGTTGTTATGTGTCACCAAGTCAGGACTGAGAGCTGGTTATCCAGCAGATTTCCAGAGGCTGTAAATTGCATGGGAAGAGATTGCCTATCTTTCTCCCCTAGAGCAGCTCATGGATTCGAACTGTACACCTTTTGGTTGGCAGTCCAATGCTTTACCACTACATCAGTACAGCTTCCTTATTACTAGGACTCCTTTATGAAAAGGTATCAAGTATTTTCGGCAGTGTTGGAGATGAGGTGAGCAATGGCCCCAGAAATCACACGTTAGGAGTATGATGGCAGAGCAAACGGGCACAGGGCTTGGCTATACTCCAGGTCTCTGCCCACAGAAAAGGCTTCCTGCCAGCTATCCTCCCAGGGAGGAGGCCCTGGGTGGTGCCAATGATTAATTGCCAGTTGGAAGGATAGGAGTTCTGATCCACGCAGAGGATACTTAGAAGAAATGCCTGCTGATCTACTTCCATAAAACCAGCCACTGAAAATCCTAGGAAGCCCAGTTCTGCTCTGACACACACGGAGTTGCCACAGTTGGAATTTATTGCAACTGCAGGTCCAGGCCTGGGCTGGGGAGTAAGACTTCAGTGTATAGGCTTTATAGATTATTCTTGTCTCACTCCCAACCCTGGTCTAGGGGAGTCTGGAGAGAGGTTCCAAGATCGCCAGATGCCCAGCATCCTAGGGGATGTCCCAGCTGTTCCAGGGAAATGATGGCACAACACTAGGGTCTGAAAGAAGGAACTTCCCAAAGGATAAGGCTGCATGTGGACGTGGGGGAGTTAGGTATTGTGTAAGCTGAGGCTCTTGTGTGCACTAGACCAGAGGCTCCCGAAGGCAGGAGAAAGGACTCGGTGGTGCTGACGGCTGGATCCAAGGCCTGGGCTGGTCTGATGTGTTCAGGTGTCAGGATGGTGAGATTGTCATTGGACCCTTGATGAAGGTGGCGGAGGGGACTTGCCTGCATAAACTGCTGGTCACTCTGGTTGGTGAGGAGATTTCGGAGCCAGACACTGTCCTCCTCCAGCTCCAGGAGCCGGCTGTGGCACTGCTGGATGGAGGTGCCCAGTTTCCCCAGGACGGTGGCCTCCTCTTTGCTCAGGAACTCCAAGATCTTCACATGCAGCTGCTTGATCTGCTGGATGATCTCCGAGAAGCAGCTGTTCACCTCATTGCGCATGTTCTGGATCAGTTTCTGGCCGGGGTGGGGGGGAACAGAGAGAGGAATCCCTGAGTCTTACCTGGGGCTCCCATGGCCCAGAGCTGGCCCATGCATGTCCCCTGCTCGCCTGGCCCTGACCTGCCATCCCTCCAAGCCAGAAGGGTTCCCACAGCCCAATTCAGGGCCCAGAGGAGCCGGGGCTTGGCACAGGAGAAAGACAGGCCCACCTTACCGAAAGAAAGGCTGTTCGGTCCCGGTGCTTCTGGTTGTCAGAAGTGATGATTAACATCTGGTTATCCACATTGGCCTGGACCTTCCGGACCTCAGCCTGGGAGCACGGGTGGGGGGAAGGAGGAGGACCCTGATTCAGAGAGGTGGCCCGGGGAGGTGCAAGCGCCCAGAAGGGACACAGTACTTGCATCCATCTGCTCTGCTTAAACAAGGATGGAAGCAGAAGGTCTCTCGTCCTGAGCTCGTCTCCCTTCTCGGGATCAGGCTTTCTGTTTCTGATAGTGGTGACTGTAGGGTTTCAGGTCCCAGGAAGGGTGGTGGGTTCAGGTTGGAGAGGTCTGACAGGCAGTGGGTCAGATCAGGCCTGAAGCCATCCAGTAACATGGAGCAATTCTATCAAGTCCGGCACAGGACCATGTTCCTGCAGGGAGCACTGTCATGTTTACTTATAAAATGTTCTAAGAGATCAACTGCTGTGTGCCCGCCCGTGAACTGTGGCTGGTCTGAAACAAAAATCAGCAACTTGCATGGGATTGTAAAGAAATGCTTCCTTCACAGAGAAAGTTTTGCTGTGTAAAGGATGTCTGCTAAACAGAATGGTCTACTAAGTGATGAAGCTGGTTTCTATTCCGGACAAAGTCTCTTGCCTTGCTGTGGAGTGTTAATGGGACACTTAGTGGCTGTGTTAAAGAATTTACGTGACAGGACACCTAAGATGCAATAAAGCACCAGTACACACACCCTCCCCAAACTCACTGCCATGGGTGTGTTTCCCTTCCACTGGATTCCCAAAGCTGTAAATCTTCACAGGAGACTTGCCATGTTTTTTCTCCCATGGAGCCACCAGGGATTTGAACCACTGATCTTTCAGTTAATAGTAGGACACATTATACACGATGCCAACAATGTAAATACAGCAGAGACAATTTGAAAGTAGAGAAAAGGAGGACATTGACCCACTCTAATGGAATGTGTGAGGGAGCTCTGGTGGCCTCAGGATAAGAAGCTGAGCTGCCAACCCAAAGGCATATGGTTTGAATCCACCACTTCTCTGCAGGAAGAAGATGAGTGATTTCCTCCTGGGTGATTTACAGCCTCTGAAACCCCCCCCCAGAGGGTCAGCTATGAGTTGGATCTGACTCAATGGTACATAACATCAACAACAACAGTCAAACTCTTACAGTATAGTGTCTTCTCTTTCACCCAAATTATCTATTCATTTTACCCTCTTCTCCCTCCCTACTTAACCTCTTAACCTTCCAAGATAAGCTCTGTGATTAAACTTTTCCTTAGCTTTTTTTATGTTGGTGTCTTTTATTGGAATAGTCCTTTTGTGATTGATTATTCACAGCTTCAGTTTGCTCGGCTCCACGGTCAACACTCTTGGCACCAGCAGTCAGGAAATCAAAACACGTTTTGTGATGGGAAAGTCTGCTGTTAGGGACCTCTCTAAAGTACTCAAGAGCAACGGTGTCTCTCTGGAGACTAAGGTGTGCCTGATACAGGCCATGGTCTTTGCAATCACGTGTTATACATCAGAGAGTTGGACAATGACTAGGGAGGATAGAAGGAGAACTGACGCCTTTGAGCTGTGGTGCTGGAGAAGAGTATTGAATGTACCATGGACTGCCAAGAAAACAAACAAATTCATCCTGGAGAGGATTAAACCAAGCAACTCCTAGGAGGCAAGGATTCTGGGACTTCGTCTGACATACTTTGGACATGTTGCCAGGAGGGACGGGTCCTTGGAGAGGGACATCATGCTTGGGAGGGTGGAGGCACAGGAGGGGAAGACCCTCTATGGGATGGATTGATTCGGTGACTGGGGTAATCGGGATGGGTGTGTTGGAGGCAGTGCGGTTGGCGCAGGATAGAGCAGGGTTTAGGGCTGTTGTGCATAGGGTTGCTATGAGTCACAAGCGACTCGATGGCACATAACAACAACAACAACGTGTCACTCATCATATTCTAGATACATCCATGCTGTGAAGTATTTGATGACTTTTAGATTATTTTTCACAGATGTATCATTTTTCTGCACTCTTTTTAGTGATTTGAACCCACCAGCTGCTCCTTAGGAGAAAGATGGGCAGTCTCCTCTCGTGCGATTTACAGCTTCTGAAAACCTATAAGAGGGTCAGCTCTGAGTCAGTTTCCACTTGACCGCACATAACAACAGTGGCATAACGTGCTTGCCTGCTAAGTGGTCGTTTGAACCCCCCAGCCACCCTGAAAGAAAAAGTGCTAGTCAGCTTCCGTAAAGGTTTGAAACCCGGCTCCTCACAGGGTTTCTGAGGCCATAATCTGTGTGGGAGGACACTGTGTCCATCTTTCTCTTGAGCGGCCGCCAGTGACTCTGTGTGAGCCACACAGATCATATCACACTACACCAGGGCTCCTGCCCATAAAGATGCCCAGTTCTGCTCTGTCCTAAAGGACTGGTAAGTGTCTGAATAAACCCAAGCACATTTATTTCACCGGCACTTTCTGCAGCTACGACGTGGGCCTGGGGACCATCATGTTGTTGGGTGCAGATGTTGTGGGGGCCTTTCCATGCCAGTGCCCCCCCCATGCCAGCCCTCCTTGGCCCCTCACTGTGTGGGCCTTCTCTGCCTGCCCCATGGCTCGTCCAGGCCCCTCACCCTGTGGGCCTCCCCTGCCAGCCCCTCTGCCCTCCTGGGCCTCCCCTGCCAGCCCCCGCGGCCCTCCCGGGCCCTCACCTCCTTGCAGGCGCGCTCCTCCTCCAGGGGGACGGCCTCGTGGTTGCGGTGTTCCTCCAGCAGGCAGGCCCCGCACACGCTGCAGCCCTCGGTGCGGCAGTACAGCCGGCGCAGCTTGCGGTGCTTCCGGCACAGGCGGCTCTTGAGGTCCCACACCGGCTCCAGCAGCTGGTGGCCCTGGAATATCTGGTCCTCGAAGTGGCTGCTCAGGTGCTTCTCACACAGGGAGGCCACGCACTGCAGGCACGACTTGACGGACTTGAGCTTCTGCGGGGAACAGAAGTCACAGGGCACGTCTCCCGGGCCGGCCGTGCTCTGCAAGGCCTTGGAGGCCTGGGCCTTGGTCTGGACGAAGCAGGCCACCATCTCCCCGAGGGTGACATTCTTGCAGAGGTGAGGCCTGCAGGGGAAGCTCTGTCGGCACTGGGGGCAGTAGGGTGTCTCACCCATGGTGGCCTGGTGGTCCCAGAACCCCTGGAGGCAGGTCATGCAGAAGTTGTGGCCACATGCGGTGGTGACTGGGTTGTGGAACACCTCGAGGCAAATGGGACAGAGGACTTGGTCCTCCAGCAGGTTGAGTTTGCTGTTGTTACTCATCAGGGGCTGGGCTGAGGGCGGTGGGGCTGGGACTCGGTCCTGGACAGGATCTAGGAAGATGAAGGCAAAGCAGGCTGAAGGGGCTTGGGGAGTGGGAGTGCATCCCTTGTCTTGGAAGCAGCTGCCTGCTCATGGGATACCGAAGTTGTGCCACCTGCCACCCTCCAAACTTATGGCCCTGGGGTGACTCCTCCTCATGGTGACCCCTTGTGTTTGACCTTGAACCTAAAGGCTGGTGGCTTGAACCTGTCAGCTGCTTCCATGGTGATTGCAGACAAGCACACTATGTGGGGCAGCTCTACTCATGACATGTGAGGTAACCAGAATCAGCTGGACAGCAGCTTGACCGCCCCATTGATGGGGGTCTCTGTGTGGAAGCAGACCACCAGGCCTTTCTTCTGGGGTGCAGCTTGGTGGGTTTCAACTGCCAACCTTTGGGTTTATCCTTTGCCTTCAAATTGACTGTGGCTCATGGAAACCTTCCATGAGTTTCTGAGGCTGTAAATCATTATAGAAGGAAACATCCCATCTTCTTCCAACCCATCACTCCTAGGGAGTGGCTGAAGATTCGAACTGCCAACCTTTCATCTAGTAGCCCAACACATAACCCTCTACACCACCAGAGTTTCTTTGCCAATCAATCCCCAGGAAGCATAAGTTAAAGATAGACTATGTGACAAGATCGTGTTTTCCTTATGCAGTGCGACCTCCTGGGACAAACCCTGGACAAGGGACAGACAAGGAAGGACTGGAGGTGTGATAGGGAAAGGAGGACCTGCTTTGACTCTTGAAAGAGGAGGGGAAGCTCAGGTACTTACCTGAGGCTCCCTTCATGTCAGGGAGACTCGAAGACTCTGCTGCCCTGTGATGGGGAAGAACAGGTGGGCGCTCACTGGGGGATCTCTCCCCTGGCCCTGCTCTGGTGCTGGGCACTGGAGGTCCCACCGCCCAGCACCCCCCCCCAGGGTCTTACATATCTTCCGGTCCGATAGCTGCCTTCTCACCTTCCCCTTCGGCTGCTGGTTTTCACTCTCACTCCCAAGGGCCCTGCACCCCTGGCAGACTGCACCCCACAATTTTGCACCATGACCTCACAATTCAGGCATGATGTCAGTGGGGCAAAAGTGGTGTTACTAGACATATGGTTGTGCTGGTCTCCTGCCTCTGCAAGGGCAGACTCTTCTCTCTGGAGCCTTCACCCGGACACCTGAGTCACCAGCGGTGGACTTGAGTTTCTCATTTACTGGTCCGAGAGGGAGAGCAATGATTAAGGGGCAGCATGTTCGCTGGTAACTAGTTTCAGACCGTAGATGATCACTTGGAGCCAGTAGGGATGTTGGAGAAGATGAGATGCCAAGGTTCCTTTGGTTGCCAGGAGCCTTGGAGGCCCAGTGATTAAACACTCAGCCGCTGACTTAAAGGTTAGTGGTTTGAACCTCACGGCCCCTCAGGAGAGCTGTGTGCAGTCTGCCTCTGTAAATACTACCGCCTCTAAAACCCTTGGGGTTGCTTAGTTGGGACTGGCTAGACAGCCAGAGGCTTTTGTTGGCGTGAAAAAGCATCAGCTCAGTGGTAACTGGTGCTTTTCTCTCCTAAGGGTTAGGAACCCATGGTGGTGTGGTGGACTAAGTACGGGGCTGCTAGCCAAGAGGTTGGTGGTTCAAACCCACCAGCTTCTCAGAGGCAGACAGATGGGGCATTCTGCTCTGTAAAGATTTACAGCTGAAATGACTAAACCCTCTGGTCAGTTCTACTTTGTCCTGAAGGGTCATTAGGGGTTGGAAGCAAATTAGATCTATTCAATAGCAGTAGTTTTTTGGTCTAGATTCGAAAGATTCAAGTGTGATCTGATTGGCAACCTTGAAGACTGTCGCTTCCACTCTGGTTTTGACCTTGGCAAGAAGAGGGGATGAGCTGAGCTGGAGGAAGACGCTGGTCATCCTGTGTGGTACATTTTTGAGATTCTCCACTCCGGAAATTTTTCACGATGTCACTCTCCTGCTCAAGAACATTGGCATGGCCACTCGAGTTGAACAGAAATGGTGAACAGAACCACCCTTTCTCATTCAGTCTCAGAGAATCATCTTCCATATTTTTCCATTAAGTATGAAGGTTACTTCCGGTTTACAATAGATACCTCACATCAGGTAAAGGAGCCCTGGTGGGGTAGTGGCTAAAGCACCTGACTGGGAACTGGAAAGTTGGCAGTTCAAATTCACTAGCTACTCCAAGGGAGAAAGGTGTGGTAATCTGTTTCCAGAAAGATCCACAACCTTGGAAACTCTATGGTGCAGTTCTTTTCTCACCTACAGGGTTACTATGAGTCAGACTTGACTCAACGACACCTCACAAGTCCATAGACATAATGAATGTTTGTGCAGTCAATATTTATTTAGATCACGCCACATGTTTAATTTTATTTCACTTCTCTCCGCTCTTTCCTTTGTCGGAGCTGGCGTCTGGATCATTTCCTTTCTTCCTAATGAACTCATTTCACTATTTCCTTTGGTGCAAGTCTGCTGGTGCCAAACACGTTAAGGTTTTGGTTGCTGATAAGATTTTCATTTCACAGTCCTCGACTGGCAGCTAGTTTTTGTAGCACCTTGGAGATGCGATTCTCTTGGGTTCTGGCCTCTGTTTTTTTCTGTCGTGTCATTGTTGTCAATCTTAACCGCTGCTCCTTCAAAAGGAATCTTTCTTTTCCATTTTGGCTGCGTTAAAGAGCCCTGGTGCCATGGTTAAATGCCCAGCTACGAGCTAAGATGTCCATGGTCCTACTTCACTGGTCATTCCGTGGCGGGGAGAGAGAAATCTGCTTCTGTGAAGATGACAGCTTGGGAAACTGTCCTGTCTGTCCTTCACCATGCGTCTGTATCAGCTCGACAACAATGAGATTTTTTTAAATAATTTTTTTAAGAATTGTGTGTGTGTGTGTGTGTGCGTGCCATCAATTCGGATCTGACCGGTACAGGAGAAGATTGGCCCTCCTTCTCCAGCAGAGCATCTGGTGGATTTGAACTATGCATCTCTGGGATTGCAGTGCAGCTTCTTGCCACTAGGCCACAAGAGCTCGACTGCCTGGTTACTTTTAATAGTTTCTCCATGTTCAGTTTGTATCTGTTTTAGTCTAGTATACTCCCAAACCTCCCTGCTGCCCAGTGAATTCCAGGCCAATCACCGTGTAGGACAGAGAACTCCCCGTGGACTTCCAAGATGTACATCTTTAGGGAAGTGAATTGGGTCATCTTTTCCCCTGCTAAGTGCTTGGGAGGTTTGAATTGACAACTTTTTTTACTAGCAGCCAAGTTCTTTAACCACTGCACCCAAAGGTATTTTCTGTCCTGTTTCAATTTTGCTAAGGTTCTTGATTCTGGGGCTTGATGTCTTTCATTAGCTTCTTTGAAAAATTATTAGTTTTTAGCTCTTTAAATATTTTAACTGTTACATCCTCTCTTTTCTTTTTTCTTGAGCTTCACCAATTACATTATTTCCAGCTTCTACACTATGGATTCTATTTTCTTTGGACTGATTTTTCAAGTTTTTTAAGAAGATTGTTCCCTTCTGGTGGGGCTAATTTGCTGTCAAAAGTATCCACCAGGTTTTTTTACTTCGGTAATTGTAATTTTTAGTTGTAGAATTTCCATTTGTTTCTTCTTTGTACTTTTTATCCAGGGTTTCTCTGTTTCCTTGAGTAATTTTTTTAGTTCATGCCTAGTAACTCCATTATCTGTGTCCTTTGTGTGTTTTCCCCCACTCTCTATCCTTTACCTGGTATGTGATCATGTTTCCTTTGTCATCATGGGTTTGTCCTGTTTCCTCACATGCCTATTTTTTTCTTTTTAAACACACACAAAGGTAAAATCCCTGTGTACATTTTCATCAACAATTAACCTTGTTTCATTTCCACCCCCTCTTATCTCTCACTCTATTACTGTGTCTTTTGTGTGTGTGATTTAAGTGACAGTTTACAAGCATACATGTATCCCATTCAACCGTTGCTACATATTTATTTTGTGACTTTGTTTACAATCCCACCTGTCCTTCCCACTATGTATGATACTGTATTATTGTACAGGAAGTTATAAACATGTAGTTTCAATCATGATCGCTTGTGTATATATTTTCTTTTTAATAAATAAACTTGGTTTTATTAGAATCGTTTTCATTTTAGGATTCTCATTCTCCTCTCCCCATGCATTGTTGCCCTCACCCATCTTACGCTGGTGGTCTGAAGCTTCTTTAACGTCTGAAGCTTCTTTAACACGTGTTGTCCCTCCCATCCATCTTACACTGGTGAGTCTACAGCTTTTTTCAGTCCGTAAGTGTTCCGTCATCCTCTGACTGCTTTTGCCACTCATTTGTTGAGAGAATAGTCAGTCATTCATCCTCTGTTTCCTGTCAGCTGTTAGAACTCAGCTTTAGTGGTTTTGGCAGGAGTCTGCCCTAAGTGATGCATGTGTTTGTTATTACCTAACATCAGTAGCACACAAAGTGTGCTTATCTCTGCCTCGCTAATGTTCACAGTGTCCTGAACGCACTGTATGAAAAACAAGAGAGATAATCTGAGGTGAAGGGTGATGTTATGTTCCTTCAGAACAGATTGATGCCAACTTCTTGCAGGAGGTTAAGGGGTGCTAGTCATCAGAGTCACCCTGGTCCAGAGACCAGGAGGACTCAAGGCTTTAACTCCACTCGGGATTGGTCATTTCCAGCTCATCCTTTTCCCGAGGTGTACTCCTTTGGGAGATCACCCCCCTCAAAACACACTCTCTCTCTCTCTCTCTCTCACACACACACACACACACACACACACACACACACACACACACA